AAACTACAAAAGAATAAAAAAGAAAATGGATTTACAGAATGGTCAATGGTATTGCAATGGTTCTCTTTGTTTTATGGCCCCATAGACTCTAGGCACGATAGCTTCCCAAACAGCACAAACAGTGTGTGGCGAGGCATGGGTGATCTGCAAACTCAGCATGACTGTGAGTAGCCAGTCCCTTGCCCCAGTCCCAGTGTGAGCATCACTATACAAATGGATGGAGAGAACCCAAGAGACAGTGAAAAAGGAGGAAATAAGGTCTAGAAAGGACAGGATCAGTAAAGATGAGGAAGCAACATTCCTAAACTACCCTCCCCAGACCACTTCCACGAGATGCTGAGAACTGTGAAAAGAGATTCTTTCATGACCAATTTAGAGAACTGTTAGGTTAAACAGGATTATACTGGCTTCTTGACTACAAGACTTACTAGAACCTACAAAACATTAAATGTATTCTCAATCTCCAACACAGGATTCATATACAGAATTTTTTACTTATCTGGTCAAAGAATCCTTATTTTTCAGAACATCTTCCAAGATTGGTGTTCTGAATAATGCTCTTTGGAAATCCTAGGGTAGGATAGTAAGGCACAAAATAAGGACCAAAAAAAAATGCAAGGGACAAAACAGAGTCAGTTGGGAGGTTAATAAATACTAATAAATTTAGTACTAATATTAATTAATAATTAGCTTATTCATCCCAGCATATTAAAAATGAGATGACCTTTGGGCCATTTAATTCATTTGGAATAACTTCCCATCATTCTGGAAGTACAGTTACAATCATGAAATTATGGAACATAATTGGTTCAGAGACAATAAGAAAACCATGTATCACACTAACAGGAACAGCACAGTAAATTTCTAGGCTAGAGTTATTATAGTCTTTTAATTAATGGCAGCTACAAGCTTAGAGCATCCCCCTCTATCCACTGCTGCAGGAGGAAGAGAAAAACATGAGCTATTAAGAATATTTTAGTAGATGTCAAAGGGAAAGTTTGCTTTTGGAGTTTAAAGGTGGTAAAAAGCAAGCTCTTATGCTCAGAATGTTTTGTTCTTCCAGTTGAGTCACTTCCAGGGTTATGAATGGACAAAAAACTAATTGAATATTTTCACTTTAGTTGAATACTGCCCTCTGCTGGGATGTGCATACTGTTTCTAATGTCCAACAAGCATATAGAGATTAAAGCATTGTCTAGAGCAGTGGTTCTCAACCTTCCTAATGCCTCGACCCTTTAATACAGTGCCTCATCGTGTCGTTATCCCCAATTTCATTGTTACAAATTGAACATAATTAAAGCATAGCAATTAATCACAAAAACAATATGTAATTATATATGTGTTTTCTGATGGTCTTAGGCGACCCCTGTGAAAGGGTCATTCGACCCCCAAAGGGGTCGCGACCCACAGGTTGAGAACCACTGGTCTAGAGGATCTATAAAATACACACATTGTTTGAAGTTAGAGGACTTGAGTTTCTGTCCAAATTATTTTTCTTATGGGTTGAGTGACTGCAGTCCAACAGCCAGGTATGTATTAACTTGTCCGTCCCCTAGGCCAGTGGTCGGCAAACTCATTAGTCAACAGAGCCAAATATCAACAGTACAACGATTGAAATTTCTTTTGAGAGCCAAATTTTTTAAACTTAAACTATATAGGTAGGTACATTGTTATTAACTTAATTAGGGTACTCCTAAGTTGGCCTTTGCTAAAAACGTCCTCAATCTGATTGAGGTACGTTCGCTGAGGTCGACCCCTTCCAACTCTCCCATCCACACTCGTCTTGTATACTTGTTTTGTCTATCTCCTTTCGTTCATCCTCTCTATATGTCCACCCCCCACTTCTTCTAATGCCACTTCTTCAAAATAGACTCGCCCAGTCCGAAAACCGACTTCTGTGAATGGGTCACGAAGTTTCAATCGCACTGTACATGCACGCCCGCATGTGGTATTTTGTGGAAGAGCCATACTCAAGGGGCCAAAGAGCCGCATGTGGCTCGCAAGCCGAGGTTTGCTGACCACTGCCCTAGGCCTATCGAACTCAACCTAAAACTGAGTAGATTTTTGTCATGATCCTGCTTCCTGTAAGGCCCATCCACCCAGGGACACACCAGAAATTGCCTTTTTCCCTCACCATGACACCCATGTGACATACACCTTCAGGACAGAACCCACCTGTCCCCACCTCTTCACACTCATTACACTGCTGTGATGCTGATCTTCTTCTGCATTACTTTCAGCAGCTCCCTGGCCTCTCCGATCTATTCTCTACACTCTCACAGTGACCTTTCTAAAATAATAATCTAACCTCAGTTCCTTCAAACAGCTTTCCTGTCAGGGTAGATTTCCAGTTCCTTGCCTGTACAAGTCCTGCTGACCTGCCTCTATCCCGAGCCTGTGTTCCTGGCATATCACACACACACACACACACACACACACACACACACACACACCCCATACTCCAGGACTCAAAACGACC